GGGAACCCCTGACAGTTCCTCAGGCCGCTTGTCAACCTGCTTATGGCCTATATCAACCCTCCCTTGCTCATTATCGCTATCTTTGGTTTATTTTGAATATTTTCTTCTTTTCCGTTCTTGCTAATATGCCTCTGCCTTCCGCTTGACAATTCGTGATGGGTCCATTACTAACCCCCCTTCTTCCCCCCAATACAATGTACGGTCATTAGAGCTATGTGTTTAGACTGAAAGATGCCTCGAATACAGGTATAATCACCGTACGACATACGCTATGTTCGGGTTAAGAAGGTAATGCTAATCTGACTAATCATGCTTGTCACCATTTATCTGGTTTGCATGCCATAAGCATAGTGGAGGATATGGTGGCCAACAGCTCTGCAATGCATTAAGTGATCTTCACAGTATCCGATCTGGGCACTCAAAAGGGGCTACGTCCGCATCTGGGCAGCAGGCCGATAGCGTTGTCAGGTTAAGTTCAGGTTGGTTTTGGCTTGTGATTAGAGGACGGGGACTTTTATCACATTGAGGAGGGATAGATAGGAGTGACGTGTGACCACGAGAAGGCATGTTGTGGGCGACCGACCATTCACTGTAGATGCCGCCAGGTGTCAAACTGACAGGATGCGTGCATGGCATTCAGAAGCTCTGGAAAGCTGCAGCATCGTAGCATGTGTGGTTGTCAGAAGCAGTGGAAAGCTGTAGCTGGCTGTGGTGGTGCGGGTGGCTCCACGCAATTCCGTGCTGCACTACATTTATCGCAGCGTGAAAGTGTGTCTGTGCCTGCCGGTGATGATGACGATAGGCAGTGCTGTGTGATGACACGATGATGATGGTGATGGCTCCAGGCAATTCCACTGCCTGCCCAACATTTGTGTGAACATGCAAATGTGTTTGTGTGTGTGTGTGTGTGTGTTTAAAATTTCCACCACAACAGCCCCTGTTCCACCCAGACGAGCAGATTCGAGTTGAGCCAGCCCAAGAATTACAGAATTTCACCTTTTGAACAAGCAACATGAATCATAATAGAACCATTTAGAACTGTGTTTAGCTGGGGCTTCTTTGGGGCAACGACTCCTATTTTGCTGTGCCTCGCACGCGCAAGGCTGCCCACGTTGATTATGGTTAAGTGGCAGCTGCCCACACCCCCGTGTGTGCCTTAACGGGCCACTTGCATGGTATAACAGGAGGCATAGTACAGGGGAAGAAGGTATGCTCCTGTGCATTTCACTTCAGATTTTCATACTCCTGTTCATTTCACTTCAGATCTTCAGCCTACACTCAGTCTTTGTGTCTGTCGTTCGTCTTCATACTCCTGTTCATTTCACTTCAGATCTTCAGCTTATACTGTCTGTTTATGCTCATTCATATGTCTTTGCTAGTAGCACATAAGGGCAACTGCACACATCGAGTTGGCAGTGCAATCCCGCGCAGTCGGCGGTACCGGTCCAGTCAGTCACAGCCCAGTCAAGCAAGTACCATGAGGGACTGTGTGCACCATGGGCCCGGTGGAAAGGGGCAGACCAACGAGTTACAGAAGTATAAATCAAGAGGCAGCGCCCAGCCATTCATTCATTCATTCGCTGCGTACGCCATGCGGAAGCGCTGCTACAGCGTCTTGTGCGAAGGTGGTCTGCAGGTTGCCTGAAGATGAAGTGGGCTGAAGAGAGACAACGTAGCCATAGTTAGTAGAAGTAGAGCGGCCATAGCCGCTGTAGTGTTAGGAGTTAGTGAGCGTGTACGAGTGAGTGTGCGTGGGTGTATTCAGGGTGATCCAGAGTTGAGTGCGGGGGAACGGCGGTGTTGAACACAGTGACGAGAGTTGTGAAGTACAGGCGCTGTTGCGCCATAGCCCGTTGAAGTGAACTTGCATCTGAACTGCGTTCTAGTTGTCCATATCTCTGAGCTTTGAGTGGGCGCACCGCGCCAGTGTGAATCGCCACCTGTTCGCATGTATGTGAAGTGGAAGTGCAAGCGAGTCTGATTGCAATTGCCACTTCTACTCCCTCATTTCCAGTGCTCCCTATCATTCCTCCAGCACTAACTGTTTTTTTTGGTGCCGAATGGCCCTTCCTCTTCACCCCTCTGTTTCTTGTGTGCGCAGTTTTACAGCTAGAAACAGGTGGTTTGACGTCTCGGCATTTTCATCACAGTCTCTCCGGCCACCTACCTTGCACCCACCTGTTCAAATTTATCTTGCGAGAGGGAAACGTTGTACTGACCGTCATACTGCCTGCCAACATGCTGCTGTCTAGGAAAGGGAAAAAGTGCAAAGGTAGGTGCTTTTGAGGAGGAGCAGGTGGAGCGGGTTATGCTTGGTTCCTGTTCATGTCATCAAGAATGATGTGTGTATACCATTTGGTGTTTATGCTGTGGATGTGATGCGACATGTGCAGTTGACGCTAGCGCTCTGTTGATGGTGCTCACGTCGGTTTGCTGGCTCCTAACAACGAGACAGAAGAAACCATCTGTAAGGAAGAGATAGGTGTTCATAACAGTCAGGATGAGTGCGGTTGCCGCAGCTTTTGCTGATGTAGCCTCTAACGCGGGCAAGTTCGAGTTCTCTTCCGGGCGTCGCGAGTGGACAGGTGGCGTGCCAGAAGGTCAGACGTGGAGGTTGTCGTCCCGTTCAGAGGAGAAAGGAAGGAGGCACAAAGAGGAAGCTCTTCATGCGAAGGAGTGTACATGGCGTTCGTTTGCTTGCGCTCCAGTATGCTTCTCTTCAGAGATTGGAAAGTTAGCGGTACTGGAGGAGGGACGCTGCACAGACAGGCATGCCAGCCCCTGCTTGCGACAACCACAACGCATCATCGGGTTTTATGACCGGCCGATGACGATCGGTGGCAGGTGTAATGGGAGATGGCTCGGGGAGGAGAAGAGAGCGTGCAGGAGGTGCAAGTGGGCACCGGGAGCGAGGAAAAACGCCAAAGGCTGTATCAATGGCGATGGCTGCTTTGTGAAGGCGATCTCAACCTTTTCCATGACTCTGCAAGTGAAGCACAGCACATCATTTTATGTCCCCGTCGATGTGATTTCGAGGAGATTGTCGTCATCATCGTCTTCACTTTACGTTGGAAGAGTAGGCACGGAAGCAGAGTACGGTGCAACAAACTTGGTAAGAAAGAGAAAGATGAGGAGGAAAAGGAAAAGCCGACGGTCTCGTCAGTTATCAATCTCCCATATGTTGCAGATTTGTTCATCGTACCGCATGGAGGAAGCTGGGGACTTGGGTATTCCTCCCAGAACTGGTAATGATGATGATGATGGTGATGATCATTGTGACGAGGAGGAGGAGGAGGAGGAGGCGGGAGGTGACCATCTTGTTCCAGACGAGATCAGGAGAGAAAGCCCGGCAATGTCCCCCACATTAGATGGAATCCAGGCCTTCGTGAGCTCTTCATCACATGCTGCTTCTATGGATCAAAAGCAGCAGCAGGAAGCGGAGAATGGTTATGGGACTAAAGAACCTACCCATTGTTCTTCTAGTGATGCTAATAATATAGGACAAGAACGTGAAGTCACGGCAGGTGTTCGCAGCATGGAAGGAACAGAAGTGGAGAACGAGGAGGTAATAAAGACCACGATCCGGTCAGCTGTGTCTCAAGAAGGGAAGAGGAGGGCATCCGAGGGGACGCAATTACGGGCAAGTGCTTTCCAGGCGACAGCACAAGAGGCAGAGAGAAGAGCGAGAAGATGTGCAGAGAGAGTGAAAGTGCTTCGCGCAACAATGACGTCCAGAAGCGAGAGTCACTTTCGAGCAAAAGCCGCCCTCTACAGTGGAGGCCGGAGCAAGGGAGGAAGAAGTGGAGGGGCTTCTTTCTCATCTTCCTCTGATAAATGCCAATCAGTGCAGGTTGATGATGGGTCTCACCTCCCAAAGAGGGGCAGTGGCACCTCCTCCTGGATTGCCTTAGTTGGTGACCATCCACCTTTATCTCGGCAGGAGGAGACGTCTCTCTCCATGGATGTGAGAGATTTGCATGCACTTCTTTCGAAAAAAGATCAGCTGGCAAAACACCTTGGCCGCGAACCATCTGATCTTGAATGGGCGGAGAGCGAAGGCATTTCCCTCTGTCGCCTTCTCGCCAGGATAGGCAAAGGGAGAGCAGCAAAACGGCGGATGGTGGAGGCGAATCTGAAGCTGGTGGATTCCATTGCTGAGCGTTTCAGCGGACGCGGTCTCTCTCATAATGAACTGTGTCAGGAAGGTGTGAAGGGTCTTCTTCGGAGTGCAGAAAAGTACGACAGCTCGAAAAACGTCAAATTTTCGACCTACTCCTTCGACTGGATCCGTCAAAAGATTGGCAATGCCTTAAGAATGTACGCGAAGCCTGTGAAGATTGGTCGTACAGCCTGGGACAAAATGTGGATCCTCTTGAGCCGTAAGCAGGCCCTGAGTAGTGCCAAGGGGGGCCAACCTGTCAGCCTGGAGGAAGCTGCGATCGGTTCTGGAGTGTCCTCCAGTGTCGTCCGTGGATTGGACCTCGCCTTGACGAAGTCGGTCCAACTGGATGTTCCGTTGACCACAGGTCCATCCCATTCCTCCGGAAAGGGTTCAGGCCCTTCAGCGACTTCGGACCTTACGTTGGAGGGCACTCTGGCTTGTGTCCCTGCCGCAGATACGTGTCCGTGGAAAGCAGTGGACGAGTTGCTGATGCGACGGGAGCTGAACGAGGCCATGTCCCAACTGGGGGCATGTGAACGAGATATCATACAGCTGCATTTTGGCCTGGGAGGAGAAGAGCCGCATCTGAAGAAGGAGGTGGCACAAGAGCTGGGAATAACGTGCCAGACGGTGCGGATTCAGGAAAAGCGCGGGTTGCAGCAACTTAAAGAAACCTGGGGTCTGCGGCTTGAGCCATATCTTTCAGAGTCCTCTTCTCCTCCATCTTAGTCTCCGCCATCGTCCTTCTTGTCAATGTCAGGTGATGGTCCGACATGGCTACCCCAGTGGGGAACTGGGGGGCCTGAAGAGGAAGAGGAAAAGGAGATGGGGATGCCTTGCTCGTCATGGATGAGATGGTCTCTATCCGTTGGTTATGCTCAGAAGGTATCCTCTTCACCCCCCGCTTTGTTCTTCTTTTCAAGTGGTGGCCGGACACGACTGCCCTTGTGGGGGGGGAGGAGGGGAGGTGGGGGGGGGAGGGAGTGGGGTCCCTGAAGAGGAAAAGAGATGGAGATGGGGACGTTTCGCTCATCGTCGATGAGATGGTCTTTACGTTCAGAATGTGTCACATGTGGCGCACGTTTGGAGAGTGGCAGTTGTCCGTCTGTATGTCGGGAGGGACTGTGGAGGGGAAGAGATGGGCGATTACTGCACGGCATGGATGGGCAGATGACTTCGTCTGTCTTTCAGACTGCGGCACGTGTATGCGTGTAGCAGAGCGGCACTCGTCTGTGTGTCGCCATCCAATCCAATAGGCTTCCTTGCCCTGTCCACCGTCTGGTGGGATGCCCCCGTTTGCACTCCTTCACTGCTATCTGATCTCTCTTCCACTCATCCCCACTGAAATTTACTATTCGTTCACTGTGTTCTTATGTGATGTATCTTATCTGTCCCCGCCCTCTGTTGTTGTCCTCTCTTAAATCACCAGTGCTTGGGACCCTTCCTTTGTCCTCTGTGGGGTTCTGAATGCATTTGAATCGAGTCGGGGCCAGCGCACGCCTTTATATCCCTGAAAAGCCAGTGCGCTAATGGGCGCACCTTGCTCGAGTACGGGTCGTTCAATATCTTAGCTCTTGAAAACATTGCTGCTCGCTGCATTGCGGTGCGCACACAATTATGCAAGTGACCTTGTCGGTGGACCCACATGTTATGTGGTCCGATTTCTCGGCGAGATATTACGAGGAACTATTCTTTACATTTCTGTGTTTTTTTTTAATAGTCAACGACGTGTATTGTACTACTGTTGGATTATCCGGTTAACACGTTCTGTATACTTTTTGGGTTATCGGACAAAGCTTGTAGCTGATAGCTATATAACTGACACTGGATGGGTACCCTTTTGTTTGTGCTTTTTTCATATATGGGGGGTCTACTTTTGCGTCTGGAACATGCAGGGTGGCATGCACCCTTGTCTGTATCTATATACTCTTATTAAAGTGTAAGCCGGGTCTCGCTTGACGTTCCCATGAGGCCAGGCTGCCAGTGTTGGGAAAATGGCGATTCCCTCCTGGGCCCTCGGGCTGTGTGGGCCGCGGGCCGGTTTTCGCGTTTGCTAAGTCTCTTTTGAAAGCTATATTCTTCTCTCAAATTCACCTCACACTACCTACCTACCTAAGACTATATAGAGGGGACCCCTGCAAGCATAGGGCCGGTGGCATGTTTGAATACAAGTACATAGCTGAGCTCGGGGCGGGGACACTCACACCCGGGCATTTTCTGCTTCGGACGTGATCTGGGGCAGATACGTTCTGAGTGTCCAGCAGGAAGTTTGGGCGCGGGGACACTCGCACCAGGGCGTTTGGGCGCGGGGACACTCGCAGGGTCCAGCAGGGAGTTTGGGCGTGGGGACACTCGCACCAGGGCGTTTTCTGCTTCGGACGTGATCCGCGGCAGATACAGTTTCAAAAGTGGCAGGGTGTGGGGCGACGCTTTTGTTGTTTTGTTCGCTTTTTTTTGTCGTGTTGTGGCCCAAGTGCTGGTTTGTCGTGTTTCGGGAAGTGTCCAGCAGGGAGTTTCGGATTTTGGGTGACAGCTGGCACATCGCAGTCTAGCAGCAGCCAATTCAGCTTTTTTTTTTGCTTTTTTTCCCTCAAACCATTTACATTCCAAAGGACAATTGTCAAAAAAAAAAAAAAAAAAAAAAAAAAGACAATCGTTCGAGGCCGGGGACCTCACAATGCAACCCGGAGTACCGGCAGCATCACCCAGCTGAGCTGACAGGCATGGCCTGAGGACACTCGTTCACACTTTGCCTCATTTATCTTGCTGTTACAGAATCCACCTTCCTATCCCATACTAGCTGTATCCTATATGACCTACCCTCCTAGCCTACCACTACCTAGTCCTAATCTATCCTATTCGCAGACCTACCCGCTGGTCTGAGCCCGGCCTATCCTCGGCCGGGAGGAACCTACTGGAACCAAGTGTCCTGGTTCATGCCAGCCAGGCCTAAAAAAACTCACAATCCAAAAAGAGAACCAAAGGGAAAGAAGGAGAAGAACACAGAAAATTCTACTTTCTACCCCGGAGGTCTGCTACCTATAGCTAACTGCCTCCTTCTCGAATCTCAATCCATCTACCCAGTGCCAACTGCCCCTCTGGGGATATGTGGGCCAGCCCCAGGCCCCACGTTCATTGGAACCATATCATGCCTTTGGTTCGGTCACCTTTGATTTGGTCGCATTTGGTTCGGCCAGCCCCAGGCCCCACGTTCAGCTTCTTTGCCAACCGACTGTGTTTTCGTTTTTTTGTGTTTTTGGGTGGGCGCGGCGTTTGCTCTGCCCTGTGTGTTCTTCTTTTTCACCGGCCTTTTTCCCGGTCTCCCAATGTTCGAATACAACTAAATAGGGGTTGCTTCACTACTGGCCACATGCAGAAAAGACCAAAATCACGGCGGTGTATCTTTCCATGCTCTGGCGGAAGATTGATTCTCTTTGGGCCTCGCTCCACCACTCTCGAAATGTGCAAAACGAGAGTGAATCTTCTTCTAGAACATGGAAAGATACACTGTCATGATTTTTGTCTTTTGCTGCATGCCAGGCGTAGTGCACCGCGACCCCATTTTCCACAATCGGTGAGTAGTGGACCCGGGCCCATAGCAAGGCCTCTTCGATCTTCGATGTGTCTGCAGGCCCTTGGTTTCTTCAGGGGGCTGTGCATGCAGTCCGCCTGGCTGTCCAGGAACGTGTAGAATGTTGTACACTGTTCTTTTGCCGCGCCCGTGTGCTGCCCTACCGCTTATCTGTGATGACGTTCTTTTTTCCCCACCCCGTTGCTCTGCCCACATGCTGCCCTACCACTTACCTCTGCACAGTGCCCTTTCTGGCTCTCTGTCGTTTTCTCTCTCATCCCCTTTGTTCAGCCGGGCAGGCCCACTTGCTTCCTTAATAAATGAATGAATGTAGTAGCCCTGTTGCGCTGAATTGTATTGATATCTGGTCAACCGGATTGATATCTGTTTTTGCTGTTCCTTCTTTTCTCCATGTTCTCTATTTCCTCCTCGGGTCCCTTTTACGCATTTCACACCAAAGGAGTCGCTTCCTCCTCGGGTCCTTTTTATGCATTTCACACCAAGCATTTCTTTACGGCAACCATTACGCTATTTCCACCATCAATCCGCTTTATTCCGTACTGCGCTCGCCGTGACTCGTGAGTGAGTCAGAGGCCAAAGGAAAAGACAACTCTCGTGTGAGTGGTATACGCATGTAATGGCGGAAAGTGACTCACTCAGGAAATTTGCATCCTGATGGTGTCAGATGAAATAGAATAATGCTGATGCTGGCATTCTCATCCCTCTTTTTTGTTATTTCGACACGTCCACGTGATTTTCAGGTGTCATCCTTGTGCCCCATCTTTTTAGGCACAGTCAATCAATCAACAAATGCACACTGGTGAACGAGATGATAACTATCGCAATGATTGAATTAGTCCATGCGACTGCCCTCACGGCTATATATAGATGTGTGTGTGTGTGTGTACGTGAGAGAGAGAGAGAGAGAGAGAGAGAGAGAGAGAGAGAGAGAGAGAGAGAGAGAGAGAGAGAACGAACCACCTAATTGGTTGGTT